AGAAGTCTTTCTCTAATTTTCTGACTTTTCCTATGCAGGGATTTTTCCCCCACAGGGGAAAGCATATACGTGACACTGATTAAGATCCAGGAAAGATAATATCTTCTGCAATTTCTACATGCTCATAAAGATCTGGAACTTATTTTTACTTGCATGAATGAAATGGAGTTCTATTTATAGAATGGACTTTCTTATTACCTCCTTTTCTCTGTTCCCTTGCCAATCTGTTCCTGAGGGTTAGGTGAACCTTGGAAATGATATAGATATAGAGATAGAGATAGAGATAGAGATAGAGATAGAGATAGAGATAGAGATAGAGATAGAGATAGAGATAGAGATAGAGATATATACTGTAGGAGGAAGAGTCTCAAATCACCAGAAATCACAGTTTCTTATGCTAATGATAGGTCTATGTAGATTCCAAAGCATTGTGCTGTTGTTTAATATGGAGGAAACAAAAATAAAGTTACTACTGACTTCTAATATTTGTTCATGTTTCCTTTTAAGAACTTCAATATCTTTCTTGTGTAGAGCATCAGCACGACTGAGAGCATCTTCTACTGCATCTTCTTTTGCTGTTTCAGCCTACAGAACAAGGCATGTATAGTTAGTTAAGACAACTGTGCTAAAGATGTTCTGATCCCACAGTACAATCTAAATTGCTATCGTGGCTCTTTAGCAATACAGTGGCACTTGTTAGTGGAATTGATTCTTCTCCCATTGTACCCCCCCAACCTGTTCTAGAGAGGGTTGTTCAGGAAAGTGCTATTGCACAAGCAGAAGTCAGCTCTAACCCCAAATGTGTTAATTTTTCATATTCTGTGATGAACATAAGAATAGTCCTTTGGATCAGGCTAAGGCCCATCTTAGACTAACTTTTTTTCACAGTGGCCAACCAGATGTCTCTGGGGTGCTCATAACCAGGGGATGGGCATGCCAGTCTCCTACCACTGTTTCTCTGCAACTGGTATTTGGTAGCACATTTTCCCCAATCTCATTTTGAATTAATAGTCTGTTGATATACTGTACATCATCCATGAATTTATACAATTTCCTTTTAATGTAACCCAACACCCAACTTAGTGGACTTTACCGCATTATGTGATAATGAATCCCACAGGTTAATTATGTGCATATACACACATGCCCGTTCTAAACCTCCTGACAATCAGCTTCATTGGATGACCCTGATCCCAGTGTTTTAAGAGATAAAACTTCTGTTCACTTTCTCCATGTCATGCATGAATTTATATACCCTGACTTCGTGATCTCCCTCGGTCATATTTTTCTAAGCTAAAGGGTCCCAAGCATTCTAGATTGTTCATGTAAAGGTGTTTGAGCCCCTTATCATTTAAGTTGTCCTCCTCTGCACATTTCCTAGGTCTGCTATTCTTTTTTTTTAAATGTGACAACCAGAACCATACATAGTATTCCAGCTGTGTATCACAGATTTGTAAAGAGGCAGTATGTTTTATATTGTTTGATTTTCCATCCTTTTCCTAATGATTCCTAAGATAGAATTTGCCTTTTTTTCAGTTGCTGGACATTGAGTTAATTTCTTCATTGAGCTATCCACTGTTATCTCATGATCTATTTCTCTTCTCTCTCTTCTATCAGTATGAAGGTATATATCAGTCTGTATATAAAGTTAAGCTGTGTGCTTCAATATGTATGCATTTTTCTTCTTCATTTTGCTTCAGAAACCTTAAAGAGATAACTGTAGGGAAGGCAAAGATTCTGCTATACATAGTTTATATTTCAGCTTTGATAAAAGCCATTAACTTCCATTCGTAATTTAATATCGCAAATATGGTAGGCATATTTTGAAGCATGTCTAGTTGAGCTGTAAACTGGAGAAAATCACAGTTGACACCGCATAATTACTTGGGTTGAGTTCTGGTCGTAGTTTGGGTTAAGCAATTTCAGAAATCAGCCTTTCTTTGGACTCATTTTGAAAGCCATTATGTGACCCCATGGAAATCCTGTACCCACAGAACCTTCTTTCAGGGAGGTAGATCTGTTGCAATATCTGCATTCAGAATCATAAGAAATAAAATGGAGAATACTGAATTGCAGACATGCATTTGATCCTTTTCTCCATTAGAAGCTTATATTATATGACAGTCTTAAATACACATATCTGATTCATCTTTTTTGTTTTTATTTCAAATAAATTGGGCTTTTCACAATATTACTTTGGATCAACTTAGAATGTAAAACAGTTTTTTTTAATTATCTGCTACCTGACAGTTTATACTTATTAAGCACTTGTCTGGCCTATTAAATCCTGATGCCATAATTGCCTCTGAAGTTCCAGAGTTATTGGAGGCTTAGAAGAATCAATGGAGAATCTTAAGCCAGTAATTAACTTTTATAAAATGTTGAAGGAAGTGTATAAGATTGGCATTAACAATTTATGCAAACTTTGGAAAAACAAGTTTAATGTTGCTTTTATAAATCAGTGAAAGGCCACGTTAAAAATATGAAATTATTTTATTTTATTATTACTAATATTTACATCCCTCTCTACTCCAGCTGGCTCCAAGCAGTGCTTTGTTTAATCTTAAAATGAGGTTAATACTATAAAATTCTACTTCATGTATATTGAACAACTCACACATTTTAAAAAAGTGGAATCAATTGCCTAATTGGAGATGCAGTTGAGAAGTTGGAACCTTAACTCATATGGTCTAGATTTGAGCTATTATTGCCAGCCTTTGGAATGAAATCCATAGGATATTTAGACTGAACATAATTGGTTAAGGACAGATAGCATTTGGATTCTACCAAGATTTTTTGTGTAGGGGGCATGGCCAAAAAACTATTATTAAACAACATTAGAAGGACAAATCTATAATTGACTTATACCTGAACTGCTGATATATATTAACATCTATTAACATCCATCACAGGAAGATCTGCATTACACAGTAAGCATTAGGAATGTTTTTAATACTTGACATGACAGAAGAATACTCTTACCTGAAACAAGAGTTTAGCCTGCATTTTTTCTATTCGTTTTTGTATTTCCAGGTCTCTTTGGTCTGCATCTTCTTGCTTAAGGTCTGCTCCAATCTCTGTATAAAGTAATACAATGATTGAAGGCCACAGCATATAGTATATATGGATTATGTATGCCACCTATCCTTCTAAATAAAATAATCAAATAATCAAAAATGTAATTTAAAAGCATTAAACCACAACTATCATTTTGTGAAGATTATTGTGCCCAATCAACAGGCCATACTTATATTGATTTAAACATATAAGAAATGTTGCACATACAGTATTAGGCCGCTAGGTCTCTGATTAGGGTTGATAAGAGTTTAACCCAGTAACTTAGGGAGGGAAATCCCCCATCCCTACCCTAACCTTTTCACATTTCAGATTGCCTCAACAGATGATGTGGCAACGGCAAGACCAATCCCTGCAGATACTTACTGATGTACCATGGGATGCTCTTCCATCTATACTGATGGAGGGATCCTGGCAGAGCATTCCATCTACAGTATTATGCAGATAATGTGAACATCTGAAGCAGGCATTCTAGGTTGGTGGATATTCCAGCAGTGGAGGCATTCAAGTTGCTCTAGTTTTCTCTCCAAAAGTGATCAGAAGAAAGATCACACAGGCCAGAAATAAGTAATAATCATGTGATTTGATGATAATACTGTAGAAATTAGACATAAATGAGCATACTGGTCATAGCACTACTTTTGTCATGGATGGGTTGAAGGGGGCCCCCAAGCAAGCCCTAAGAATCAATAATCTGTAACTGCAAATCCAAGCATTAGCATAGTGTATACTATAGTAAGCCAAACCAAGCCATCTTCAGACCTTAAACTCTTTCTTTTCCTTCAAGGTCAGAGAAAGCCACTTTAATCCTTTGCCAGCAGATTAAAGCTATGCTCCCCCAACGATTCAACACAAAGCACTAATTTCACACATTAAGCCATACTTTGCTTAACCATGGTTTGTTGGAAAAAACACAGCTGTCCACATTCACACACATGCTAAGCCATAAGCTATGGTTTATGAACCACTATAGCTGGATTCATACAATATACAAAACCCAAATCAAACAAAACATGATAGCTTAATGTAATGTTTGAACCCAGTTTCTCTCAACTGATTCTAAGATTAGTCACTGAGGCCAGCGATAGTTGCCTCCCCCATTAACATATTCATTATAAAGAAATCTAAAATATATATTCAAAGTCCATTGAAACATTTAATAATTAAAATAGGTCCTTGAGTTTTGAAGACTCCTATTTTGTATATTATGGACCATCAAACTATTGATAGTACAGGATGACACTGTATGTGCTTAGATCAGGTGACGAATTTATAAATTTCCATATCTTTCATTTTCCTCCTCTTTGGTAAATATCAAGTAGAAAGGTATCTTCCCTACCAGACCAAAGATGCTCTTTTACTTAATGACATTTACAGCCTTTTTCCTATTTTTTCTCTTATTCTGCGGTTTTAGGATTAATAACTAGAACTGTTCATATTCTTGTATGCAGATTCCTTAGAACATATCAAATATGTGAATCATCAAGAGTTATTTAGGGAATTGACTTACCTAATATATTCTTGTGTGTATAGTACCGAGTTTTATAAGGTTTATATTCCCTAATCCGTTCAAAAGTCTCTGGTGTAGGAGGTGGTGGGATTAGTTTTGAACAAACAGCACAGCAAACAAATGTATCAAAATCTGGGTTTCTAATCATGATTGCATGGAGATCTTTTTCTTCCTTTGAAGAGAATGAAGTGTTGTAACTGATTCAGATGCAGAAACGAAAGCTTAGTTCTTCCATTCAAAACTGAAATATATTTGGTGTTCCTTTGGATCCGTGCATGTCAGTGAAATAAAGAAGATGGTTTCACCATTGTATGGCAAGATGGTCAGTGGAAGAAAGAGAAAGGGGCCACCATTGTATGGCAAGATGGTGTCTCCTGTATCCAACTGTTTCTTCAGGACCTCTATGTTAAGGAGCAATAGAAGTCACATCGCCATGACCGAGTCTGAGTCAAATCCCACCCAAGTAACTGTTGCTAGGCAAAGTAAGCTTTGCTCATAAAAGCATCTGAGACATCAGTTAATATTACTTAGCATCCTAGAATATTTTTTTTAATTGATAAGGTTTCATCTACCTGTCTAAGACAATGTATATTAATCCTTAAAGCATTTACTATCCAAACACTTAAAACTAAAAAACTTAGTATTCCACTAAATGGAAATATGTGGGGAAGCTCAAAATATTGAAAGAACTCATGGGAATATATTTTAACAGATTAGTTTTATTGTCTTGAGTGAAAAGTATCAATTCATCAATAATTTCAAATACTAAATCATAAATAAAGTAATTTGGAAGAGACTATGCACAGCTTTCCCTTATTTAATATTTGAATATTAAAAAGTTGCACAGTTGGATGACTGCACAAAAGACACATTTTAGAACTACTTTTGGAGTTTTAGTAAGTAACAATAGTAAGTAACAATAAATCTAAAAATCAGACTGAGAACTTCTGGCAATAATTCCAAAGCACTTATTGACACTGTATGGTAGAAGTAAGTTGCACATATTCTACAGTACTCCTTTTTTTATAATGCCGCTTTATTCAAAATATTAATATATTTAGCATTCCATACTGATATTTAAACTGGACATTTCAAAAAAAGCATTCACCATTGCATAAAAATAAATGCTGATCCTCCAGACAAAATCCTGAAAGTCACAATTCAGAAAACCAAATGTCTCCTTCCATGATGGTATTTAAATCAATATTTACAATCAGTTTCTTTAGTCCCATTTAGAAGTCTTACGTTTCATAAGTCTATTTCCTTCACTGTCAATAGCTTCATAGAGATCCTTTTTGTTTTCTTGTTGTGCGTGCAAGTACCCAATGTAAGCTACACAAACAGTAATTGTTGCAAGGCCAAAAGCCATGACTGCTTTGTTCTGTGGAAATAAAAATAAGATATTGAAATCCAGACATTTTATTTAATCCATGTTCTATGCCAAGCATCCCAGATGCCAAAAGTATTTTATTAAGCTACTTCCTGATGACTTGTTATTTTATTATCTATCTTCATTTAGCTTTCAGAGAGAAAAGGAAATGGATAGAATTAAGGTTGCAATTCTCTATATATCTGGAAATATAACCCACCAAACACTATTAGATTATCTCTGCGTAGAGAAGTCTGGAATTGCACTGAAGCCACCATGACCATTAGGAAAGGTTGACACAAGATCCAACAGTTCTTTTGAAAACCACAGCACCCAAGTGGCCTTGGCTGATCTTGGAAAAGCTAAGCAAGGATGGATCTGGTTAATACTTGAATGGGAGACCACCAGGACATCCCAGGGCTCTAGGCTAGAATGAGAATTTGAAAAGGCATCCTGGAAGGTAGTGGCAAACCAAGTCTGTACTGTTGGCAAAATAGCAACATTATTTGCGTAGCCCATAAGAGTCAAGTTTTTTTTTTTTTTTGCAGTGGTCCCAACTATTTGACCACTTTACTATGAAACGAAAGGCCTGTAAATTGCAAAGAAGTAGACTGACTTAGTTGACTAAGGTATATAAAATATAAATATTTAAGCTTTTTAAATTCCTCAACACCTATTTTTACATAGACTCTATGTTCCTTGAGTGTGAAATGTTTGTGTTTGGACAAAATGGGTCTCATCCAGAATGCATGCTGTTTTCCCATTCGCTTTAAATTTGTTCCTGTTAATGACTGCTTAAGTTTTATAGTATGTTGTCTACAATTCAGTACAGCTATAGAAATACTCAAATCCACTGACTTCTGTAAACTTAACTCCATAGACAAATTATTTAATTATAAAATAATTGCTGGTAAGCTACAGAGTATATAGGGGTCATTACAGTTTTCCTATTCATGTTAAAATAAACTTGAGACACTGTGACTAACGTATTTTGATATCACACTATTCTAATTAGCAAATTACCAGCTTACTTCTTTCTATCCAAATGAATGTTACATCTGAATTAAAAAATGGAAAGAAAGCTATCAGTAATTAAATATAAATGACCTCTTAAATGACATGTTAAACCTGGCATGATAAATCAAAATTGACTAGATTCAGATAAAATGCTAAGCCATAAACCATAAACCCAAAACATAAAGGCTGGGCTCAAACAGCATACTAAACCAAAACCCAAACTATTATTGAGATGTGTGACTATGGCCATATAACAGGCTATGCAACTGAGGTGCAGGCAACAATATGGACATACTTAAATCAGCTGTCTCAAATAATTGCTGTTCTCTTACAGGTTTAATGAAAAGTTCTGGATTCACAGCACGGAACAAAGTAGTAGTTCGAACACCTCGGAGTCCCGGAGTTCGATAATCTTTCTCTTTGGGTGCTTCATGCTGAATATCTGGAGGCTGTGGTGCTGAAGACATCTTACTGCAGCAGAAATATTTGGACTGAGTTCATAGTTAGGAACTGTAAAGACATGTAGATAAACCTCAATGGTGAGCAATGTTTTAGGGATGGGGGGGCTAAAACTCAGCCTCCTGATCTTCCAAAAGGCTGCAGGTGAAGTCTCTGGAAGGGACAGGCTCCAAACAGTTTTGTTGTTTATTCCTCTTCTTGTTTTATGTTATGATGAGGAGGAAAGCAGGAGGCATCTGAGAAAACCCATTCCTGCCTTTAAGCCCCTCTCCCAGAACTAAAAATTGCCATTTTTCACACCACTTCTGGGCTACTTTGGAGTTAAGGTGGGGATACAAGTCACCTGCATAGTCCAACAGTATGTATGTTTATTTGAAAATGAATCTGCTAAGTTCAGGTAAGTGGGCATAATCGAACTTCTTACAAAATCTCTCTCCTATACTCTGTGTTATTTATTATTTTCATTATTTATGTCTTCTACAGTTTACTTTCACCCACGGATCTCCTAGCACTAGCCATCGAAAGACAACGTCCAACTTTCTTCCTTTATGGATTTTCTGTGGTGAATCCATAAAGGAAGAGGTGAAGCGAGGAAGACCTGGGACGACTCCCATGGACCACCACAGTATCGGCACCCCCCTTTTGAAAAATTCTGCACCGAGGTTAAGTAGACCGCACACTGCAAGCTTTCCTGGAAGCATCCAAGCTCTCTAGAAAGTTTTTCCCAGTCCTACTTGCAGAAAACAGAGCTTGAACCTAAGATCACTGACGTGGAAAGCCTGAGCACGAGCAAAGAGCTCGCAACTTTCCCTAACCTTAGCACGGCTACCAGGGAAAAATCCGGACGGCCGCTAATAGCAGCGTGCGTGCTCTGAGTCTCCAGTCTGCCATCTTGTCGGATTTTTCCAGCAGCCCAGATCTGGTAGCCCTTAGCAGTGGCTCCCTACTAGCGAGGAAGAATAGGCGCCCTCTTCGGGGTTTCAGTACGTTAAAAGGGGCACCCCTAAGACGGCAGCAAGCAAGACAGCGAAAGACCTCCAACACCTCACTCACCCCCCTCCGCTCGCGGCCTTCCTAGGTTGCAAACGCGGAGCTGAAGGAGGACTCGGGCGGGGGGGCGTCTTCCGCCTCTGCCGCTCTGTAGAGAGCGCCCCCTACTCGCGAGAGAGCTCGAGAGCGCCCCCTACTCTGTGGAGGCCAGAACGGCGCTTTGCTACAAGCTAGGCGGCTGGGCTAGAAAGAGAAAGAGAGCGAACGAGCCAGAGTACCCAATCAGGACTGAGCGAAATCGTTTATTTTCGCCTCCCGGTAACTAGCTCCTGCGGGGCAGAATCATTATTGGTGGTCTCACAGCCAGAGGTTTAGGCTGGATCTGGCATTTTTGTCCACCTCTCGAGTCCTTCCCAAGGGCCTGGGATAGGCAGATGCTGTTTGATGATGTTAAAGGTATCATCGCAGGATGGAAGCTGTTCCAAGTAAAGCTGCCTTTTGCAATTGACTGGTGGCGATTTTGATGGTGTTCAAGTGGTGCTCCAGATGTTTTGGGATTGCACCCAAGGAGCTACTGCTATTGGTACTATCTTTGCTTTCTTTTGCCATAGTCGTTCTACTTCTATTTGCAGGTTGTTGTATTTTGTGACTTTCTCCAGTTCTTTCTCTTCTCTTCTGCTGTCTCCAGGCATTGCAATGTCCACTATCCAGACTTTTCTGTCTTTCTTATCAACAGTTGTTAAGTCGGGGGTGTTGTGTGGCAGGTGCTGGTCTGAATTCTAAAATCCCAGAGCACTTTTGTTGCTGTTGCTGCTGCTGCTGCTGCTGCTTCCTCTTCCTCTTCCTCTTCCTCTGGCCTCCCAACTCCAGTGGACTCTGGGCAGTGTACAAAACTAGAAAAAACAAAAACAGCTAAAAACATTAAATCAGACAGGAGGGTTAAATCAAAAGGAGAGTTCCAACAAAAATATTCCCGTTTGGCAGTGGGGGGAGTAATTGGAAATGTTCAGGTGACCTACCTGCAGCTTTGAGAAAAATCCAACTACAAAGGATTGAGGAATGGAGGGGAGAACTGGGATCTGTTCCAGGCACATGGGATCCAGTCATGTATGCGTATGAACCTATCTGTCTGTCAAGCAGTGTTACAGCAGGGGAGCTGGCCTTACACCTTCTAGATTGGTTAGACTTCCGTTCCCATCATCCCAGCCAGCCTGGTCCCCACCATGCCTGCAGAGCACCTCCTTTGAGAAGCCATTTCTTTCAACCAGAAGAGAGCTTTATGTCTGATAGAAATTCTAATACTGTGTCCAAATGTCTTTTGTCCTAAGGTTTGCTTCAGTAGAATGAGTTAAGATTCTCCTGTTCTAACTTTTAGAGTCCCTTTTATTTCCTTATGTTGGAGAAATTTTGCTGCAGAGCTGTGGTTTAGATCTCCTGGGAGCTATAATGTAATAAACTTGTTCTCTTACCAATACGTATGTGGAGCTTCCAATTGGTAGTCAAAAATTAACAGACCACTTAGGCAGCCTTCTCCAGCCTGGTCATCTCTAGATAAATTTGGAGTTCAGACTACAATTCCCAGAATTCTTAGGCAGCATGTCCATTGCCAGTCAACATATGTCAAGAGCAGCAGGCTGGGAAAGGTAGCATAATATTGGATTAGTAAACCATACCTTGTGTATTGTCGAAGGCTTTCACGGCCAGCATACGATGGCTGGTGTGGGTCTTCCGGGCTGTGTGGCCCGGAAGACCCACACCAGCCAAACCACACCTTCTTATTTAAACTGAATGTCATGCTGACATTTGTCAGTGTAAATGCAATTCATATGTGTTACTTGTTTGCAAATAGGAAAGAATGAAAATGTAGACAATCTGCATTAGTACCAAAGATTCAATGAGCCATCTGTGTTTTGTGTCAATATTTAACTCACAGCACATCATCTGCTCTACTAGCAGCTATTGTTGTGGCAACAGCTTTTATAATGAATCCTCATTGAAGAAAACAGAGGATGTTAGTAGCATTCAACTCTCTTATAAATTTTATAAATTCAAGTCTCTTATAAATCAACAAACCCCATCATTGCCATCTTCTATGGCCCAACACTGATTTGGGTGAAAGGACTGGTAAACCAATATGTCTGGTGGACACTAAGTTGAGGAAGACTACTTGAAAACAACCTGAATTTGTCAACATGAGCCACTAATTTACCTGTCAAAATTATGTGTGTGTGGGGGGGTGTCTGTCTCTCTCTCTGTCGCTCTCTCTCTCCTGAGTTCCAAATGCTTTTGTTAAAACACAGCAGTAGTGAATGCTTACATTTCAGAATTAAAGATTTTATCAAAAATAAAACATTTGCTGTTTCTGTGTTACTGACTGTTGAAAGAAGCAGTTAAATTCAATTGCCTGGCTTGCTTTGGTAAATAAAGATTAAAACAAATGAGTCACTAACTAAATAATACTGAACAGAAAGAGACTGATCACTTTAAATAGTACAGTAGGCAAACAGTGTTTTGTTCCATTTATTTTCATATAGTTTACTCATACCGAATAAAACTACAGAGCAGAAAGCGCACCACCAAGCTAAAAATATTACTCAGAGCGGAGTTAGGCCTGTCAAAGAGCTAAGAATCTAAATTACAGAAATCTGTTATTTAGTTTAACATCCCATATTGACTGAGGTACACATAGTTTGGATAGCTTCTAGCCTTAAGGCTGAACCCAGACTTTAGTATCACCCATTACAGTAAACCATATTTTGGTTTTGATTAGGTTTGTTACAAGAAACGCTCATCTATAAATTGTAGCTTGTTTAGTGTAATGTGTGGATCAGCTAACTGTGGCTTATTTAACAAATCATGGTTAAAACACTGACATTCAACTTTGCATATGCTGGCTTTTTGCCCCTAGGAACCTACTGACTACTAGATAGTTAGCAAAAGGACTCTTGACTTTTATCACCTTTCTTTGCCTAAAAGGCTTACTTTGCACATGTTACATGTCTCCTATTGGTTAGACTGATGTTTTCAGAGTTTTCATCACTTACTTCCTCTCTGAGTTCAGTTATTTTTCTTTGGACTCTGATCTGTAAAGTTCAGGTTCTCACCTGACTTGTTCTCTCTCCTAAATGGAGATATATATATATATGCAGTACTAGCTTTAAAGGAACTTGTGTCTTTTTATTTCATGCAAACACCAGCCATACAAATACTTCCTTACAAAACTTACACTCCATCTTTAATGTTCCATACATTGATTTCACTGTTCCAAGCTACTCACTAACCAATACACTTGTTCTCTCTCCTAAATGGAGATATATATATATATGCAGTACTAGCTTTAAAGGAACTTGTGTCTTTTTATTTCATGCAAACACCAGCCATACAAATACTTCCTTACAAAACTTACACTCCATCTTTAATGTTCCATACATTGTTTTCACTGTTCCAAGCTACTCACTAACCAATACAGAATTATTGGCCCCAAAGCAGAGAGAGAGTTGATTTGATTATGTGCCATCAAGTCATCCTTTACTCCTAGCAACCACACAGATAGATTTTCTCCTTGATGATTTGTCCCTAACCTGGTCTTTTAGGTCTTCCAACATTACACCCATTGCAAGAGAAAGATTTAAGATTAGGAAAAAAGAGAAAATTTTGTATTTCTAAAAGAGTGCTTGTCAGTCTGCAAAGCAAATGAATTAAACAGGCAAGATAGCTGCCTGTGATCCCAGGACAGCTGGCTTTATTGAGATGATAAATGACAGGAATTGAAGAAGGTGGCTCTTTTGAGAGAAAATACTGCTGAATACTCTTGCAGGAATAAATGTTCTGAAAAAACAGAGGGCAACAGAAACCAAGAAGTAAGAAGAACAGAATTCTGCAAATAGAAAAGCCACAGGTCACATATGCCTAACAATGATTCTTTACTCATTCATATAGAAGACAGAAGTTGAAGAATACACTGTAAGGACTTTTTCAGCAGAGCAGCATGAGTTGCCAAATATCTTTATTGTTGCAACTATGTAACAGGAAACTCAAAATTGCAAAAGAATCATCAGTTTGTGGATTCCTTTCTGGAAGCAATAAAATAATCATAAGGCCAAAGTGAAATGTTACAAGAAGGCTTATTTCTTAAAAGTCTGCCTTTGGAATATGTGGGGATTATCAATATTCTTCGCATGGAAAACTTTATGTTTCATTCAATAATGTTTGCAAGAATATAATTCCGAGATGCAAACAGGAAATAATTGTATGGTCTTTCTGATCTTAGTTCAATTGAGCAGACACGAAATTCTGCCCTTCTAGAGAAATATTTGGCTCTGAAAGTAAATTGCTCAGATGAGGGCAAAGCCAGACACCACCATCACCAACCCCCGCATCAAAGGGATTGAATGCAGGAGGTGCGCTCCAAAAGAATACATGTTTGGCAGGGTGAGATGGCTAGGAAAGAGAAAGAAAATAAGGTTAGATTTGTAAAAGTAATGAGAAACAGACAAAAGAAATACAAATTCAGGAAGCCTATTATATGCTGTGTTTGGAAACTTTTGCATGCAAGAATACCAACACACCATGGATGTAAAATTAATGTTAAAGAAAATTACTGCTCGATTTATCAAGACAACGTACAGTACTGATCATGAAAGGAATTTGGGGACAGAAATACCTTTGCCAAGTGCAACATATAACAGATATTAAATACTATAAAAAAAAATTTCCTAAGGACTGTATGAAACAGTGGTACTGGAGATTTGGACATAGGGAAATAGAATGTATTTCAAAGTTAAAAGGCAATTTGACTGAAGAACTGAAAATAAAACCTTGTCAATTTAAGGGAAAATGTGCTGAATGTGGGCTCATCCAGCCAGCTGCTTTATCATGCTTTCTTCCCATTCCAAGCTCAGAAGGAAAGCTGACATAAAGTACATTGTCTCTCTTTATTGTACCTCAAGAACGGGGCTGGTCATTGCTGAATATACAGGTTTAACATAGAACACTGGAAGAGTAGTAGTTGGTTTCCCCAGCTGTACTCTCATGGTTGTCCAATGTCAGCAACCAGCCAAAAAGGCTACCATCGATCACTGTCAGGATGCATTACTTCCCCAGACCTTTACCTTGTGTGCCCCTTGTGGGTACTGTGTGGATTGCTCTGATACGCTG